TAAAGCAGTGAGGTAGGAATACTGCTGTGGCGAAGATTTCCCATAAGAATTCTAGCCATTTTTGCTCATCTTGATAGAAAAAAAAAAACCCATTCCTTTAAAAAAGAACTGCAAAAGCAGAAGAAATTTTGGAAAAATTCTCATGGGTGAAATTCAGAATTCTTGTAACTATCTCCCTTATGAAGAAACTGTGGAATGTGTGCAAATCTTTTTTTTTTTTTATTGCATAGGTCTCTCTTGTCGCAGCGGGCAAACTACCCACCCCCACATTTAATGCATAAATTACTTTTAAAAGGAAGATGTAGAACTACCTCTCCATCACCACCCCCCCAAATCAGGTAGTGTGGATAGCCAGGAAAGCAGCAGAGTGATAAAGTTATGTAAATATGGATAAATACATTCAGCCCCCTCAACCACTTTGCAATACTCTGGTAAACTGGAAAAAATACTGAAAAAAATTATAAACAGCCTGGAGAAGAAGAAGAAGAAGAAGAAGAAGAAGAAGAAGAAGAAGAAGAAGAAGAAGAAGAAGAAGAAGAAGAAGAAGAAGAAGAACTCTTTCATGAGAAAAAGAAGAAGAAGAAGAAGAAGAAGAAGAACTCTTTCATGAGAAAATAAAGCTTCACGAAACTGGAGGACAAATTATCACAAAATAGTTGTGAAGGATGCCAGAACTAATTCCTGGCCATTGACCTGTCTCTGATGTATTAGTCAATGAACCAGAGACAAGGAGATCACAGCAAAGGTTAATAATTCCTATTCAGCTCTCCAGTGTAGTCACACCCTTTGTTAGTCTTTAAGATGCTACAACACTTTTGTTATTTTTGTTACACATGCTGAAAAAAGGACCAAAATAACTAATGTGGCTGCCTCTTTAAAAACTAATTGCAAACAATCCTTTTGTATGATGAATGAAAAGCATGTGCAGAGTTGTTTTTAAAAGTTAGCTTCCTTTCCTTTTCTCCCATCCCCACATGCTGGAACTGTAGCTTAATTTGGAAAAGATTTCAAGGTCATACTGTTACCAAAATTAGGAATATGTAATTGAGATTGCATTTTCTTCCTTATGGTCTAGATCAGTGGTCCCCAACCTTGAGTCTCCAGATGTTCTTGGACTTCTTGGACTTTTCGCTGAACGAATTAAGCTCGTCTTGCGGGGCATTACTGTATATTCAACAGCAGTAGTTCTCCAGAGTTTAAAGTCATTCCCACTATGGAGGTGTCAGAGATTGAGTCTGGACCTTGTGCAGCAGTAGCAGCAACAGCAGCTGGATGTTATGATGAAATTATGGGATCTCTGCTTTTAGTTTGTGATTATTAGTACTTTCTATGCATGCCAACTGTAGGCCACTGTCTGCACTGTGATGGGTAGGTGTTGGTGTAGTGGCTATGGCAATTTCTATCAGTTTTGATATGCTATCTGTTTTTTCTACTGGCATTGCATTGCTTTGTGCTTTATCACTGGGAAAGCATGGGTTTATAAGGATTATAAGGATATTTTTTCCAGTGTAGCAGAATCATGTGACTAACCTGGAGTCAGTGGTAACTTCCACAGGTATGCATATTTGGTCCACCTATAAATTAGCCCCAGTGTCAAATAGGTGGTTTGAAATACATGTTTGATCCTATTTGAATTTTCAGCAAAATATGTGGATTTTGAATACATGGATGTCTTCACAAAATGCTCATCACAAAGGCTTATTCTGTGTACAATGTTTAATTTTGTTGTTCTGCCATGATAACAATAGTATGTTTTGAAGAAAAAAACTTAACAGTGAATAAAAGCTGCTCTTAATGTGTTCTGTTTCTCCCTTTTGATGTTGTGGGCTTTGAGTTTCCTAGCTTCTGTGGCTTAGTTTTGATGAGAGCCTGAAAACATTATTTCTTTGGACTGCAACTCTTACAGTTCTAGAAGATAGCCAAGATGGCTTTTGGGATCTGTAGTCCAAAATCAGTAAAGCTTCCAACTTCTGTTTTTGACTCAGTGTTTTTGTGTTCCCTGCCATGAGCTGCTCTTTTTTATTTGAGTACAATGGTCTGAGTTTATCAGGGATTTGAGAGTTGCTTTCCATTTCAAGCTTCAAAGATCCTTGAGAGAGAAAATAGGAGAGGAAGAAATGCCCTGAGGCTTGATTTTCATTTCCATTGCCAACAGTGGTTTGGCTCTGTAGTTCCATTTGTTCAATTTACTGTAAAAACTAGGAGTGATTTGAGCAGATTTGGGGAAAGTTATTATATATAATCGCTAATTTTGCTCTGTGGATTTTATGGTGATTATCTATTATTCTGTACCCTTTGTGAAAAGAGCTTAAGCAACCGAATTTTAGGTCTGCATTCTGGAATAATTAAAATGACATGTTAAAAATACATTTAAAGATACAGAGATTAATATATCCTTTAAAATACTGCATAACATGCCAACCATATTTGTCAACTTCTCACACAATTCAATTAATTACAAATTTTATAACTTCCTTCACTGAAGGAGCTGCTTTTCCACCCACCCTTTAAAATTAAGAACAGGTCTTTATCTTTTCTCCCTTTCCTGATTGAAGTATGTAACTGTTAAGCTTTTGGAGATTTCACACCAATCAGTCCTGTCAAACTGGTGTTGTGAAACATTTAACACCCTGTGGCTTTTGCAGAATAGATGGTAACATAAGCTGTAGTAAACAATTAAGCTGGTTTGCAGAATTAACGTTCTGCTGTCCCAGTTCAGTCCATGCCTCTTAAGGGAATGTTGTCACATTCTGAGGGTGAATTTACAAAATTTGTCTTGGATATGAGACCAGGTTTGCAATACAATCATATTCTATGTTTGGGGTTTCCCTCACCCCTTTAGCTTGGGAAAATAAAGGAAACCCATTATGAACCCTTTTATTTCAGGGGGTTACCCTTTTGTTTTGGATGGATTGTTAGGGTTGGTCAGTTCCATTCTTTCTCCCACAGCCTTCAAAAGGGGGGCACAGTAACATTATTTTGAAAGATACAATAATTTGCTGAAGTACAATGAAGAAAACATACTGCTCTTCAGTGTTCAAGGACAGACTTAACCTCAGCCATAGCCATAAGTGGTGGGAAAGGTAAAGTCTTAACACTTTCTGTTTTGATAGTAGTATCTGTGGTCTGCTGACATGCAAACTGCAAATTCAGGATGTCTCACACTTGATCAGAGTTTATCAGCATCTCCCAGGATGTTATTTTTGCATTACACAGGAAAATAAATGCAGAACATTGTTTCAGGATAACTTTGCATAAGATGCCTGGAAACTGTTCCTCCTGATATGGAGAGAGTGAGTTGGTTGCAGGTGGGGAGTTACATGGTTACATCCTAGTAAGGTTATAGACACCTCAGTCCACTAGCTTTAATTTAAGCCCTTGATTACAATTCCTTAACAGGAAGCTGATTTCTAAAAAGTATATTCGTTTTACCTTGGAGTGGGTAGAAAATATTTTGTTTTGTGGTTGTTGTCGGTTTTCCGGGCTCTTTGGCTGTGTTCTGAAGGTTGTTCTTTCTGACGTTTCACCAGTCTCTATGGCTGGCATCTTCAGCGGATTGGAGTAGGAACTCTGTCCATGCTCTGTTCCTACTCCAGTCCTCTGAAGATGC